GGGGTAAGTGGGGCAGGGGGGCGGTGTGTGGGTGGTGGGGCCCGGCAGCAGGGTGGGGAGGGGGACGATCCCGCCGCAGGATGAGCCTGTGCAAAGCGCTGCGCATGAGGGAGACCATGGGCACGAGCAAGGTGCAGCAACTGTTTTGTGGCGTCGGCGCACGCACGCACGCACGTACGCATACACACATGCTTGCACACACAGCGCGCTTGCACGCATGCACGCGTGCCAACCGCGTTTACGAGGATGTCGTAGGGCACAGTGAATGCGTGGTCCTCCTCAGTGTGGGCGCCGCCCCTGGCGCCGCCGGCGCCGTTCTTTCGGCGCGCGCAGATCTGCGGGCGTTCAACGCGCGGCAAGGTGTCTTGGAGCGATGGAAGGGCTGGCTTGCACGGCCGGAGAGGCCCCAACAAAAACAGCAGGCGGGCATCGGTGTCCCTGCCCCAATCCCCCAGCCGTTGACGGCCGCAGTGCGGGCTCTATAACGGGTAAGTAGTAGATGAGCCGGAGCAACGGCGCCCCACGGGGCAGGTGCGTGCAAGCGCGCTATCTAACAGTTGACCCACCAGGGTGCTGCGAGGCCAGCAGGGCGCGAGCAATGGCACCCCCCGCGCGGATCACCGCAGTCACTTAAGACAAGCTTCTCTCATCTGGAGGTGGCGCACCCACCCGGGCCATGAACTTCACAGCGGAATTCACAGTAAAATCGAAATCCCATGAGCCTGGATGGCTCCGGACGCAGGCGGCGGCGGGACCCTGTACTAATTCCCACACCTGATAATCCTGATGCACACGATCAGTCGTCATCCTCACAAGAAGATGATGACGACTCATTTGGTGAGCTCTGAACACACCCCACCTCGCAAAATTCCTTGACACACGTCAGCTGGCGCCGCGCCACGTCCACATGCACGGCCCTGGCCTCGTAGTAGACCCCCTGGTCGGAGATTACGAGGGAGCGATTGGTGCGGGACGAGGTTGGTGGTGGGCGGGTGGCGCACGCGTACACAGGAGCGCACCTGAGTTTGGGCTCAACACACAGGCAGGGCCAGGGCACTTTGTTTGTGCAAGGCCAAAATAGCCCTCAGCAGGACAGTGAAATTTATTGTAACATCCGCTGAGGTGCATATTCATGCGCACACACGCTCACACAAAGCAGACAAACAGGCACCCACACGCACCCCCGCTCTCGAGACATCCGCCCATTCGAAACCTTTCAAACCCTCTCGCGCGCGCGCCAGCGTGCGCTCGCGCACACAGATTCATACAAGAGCGCGCGCGCACACACCTTGCCGCGCATGATGCTGCGGATCGATTCTACTATGCTGCTCTCGGAAACCACGCCTCCCAGCGCGCCTAAGGCGACAGCGGTGCCCGCACACACGCCCACATGTACGGGATTGGAGGGGGGGCTGGTTTGAGGAGGGCTAGGGAGAGGGGGCTAAGGGGTGCAAAACCGTCGGGTGTCTGGCGCAGGGGCGACTCTGTTGGACGAGTATCGTCACGCGGAGGGCCCCGGTGGACGCCCGCCGCGCGTGCCCTTGCGTGTGTGTGTGTGTGTGTGTGTGTGTGTGTGTGTGTGTGTGCGCGCGCGCGCGAAGCTGAGCACGCGCTGGATGATGAGCACGTTCTGTGGCACGCGCACGGTGCCGCCGCCGGCCAGGTGCGCGCGCAGGCAGAACTCAACCAAGAGCTGTTCTGTGCAGTGGTGTAAAGTGCAGCGAAGTGTAGTGAGGTGCAGGGCCGTGCGGCGCAGCGCGGCGCAGTGCCGTGTGCAATGGCCATAAGCGTTGCGGCGGGTTGCTGCGCCTCATAATCAGGGGGGGGGGTGCGCTCACTTGGCAGGAGGGGCGTGAAGAGCATGTAGTTGCGGGGGCTGACCAGCACCAGCTCGTAGGGGCCGTGATCTGGGGGCGAGCACAGGGCGCATGGGAGGCGCGC